TTTTTTTTTAATTGTTTTTTTTTTTTTTTTTTTTTTTTTTTGTACTGGGGATCAAACTTGGGCCCTTGTGCGAGATGAAACCACTGAGCTAAATTCCTGGGCCCTGTTGGTCAGTTTTTTAAAAGAACAAAGGACAGCAAAAAAAAAAAAGAGGAGCTTTCTGGATCAAGGCATGCAGCCTGGGTGGTGAGGAAAACTCAGCCAGCTGATGCTACCAACAGCACTGTGGCTGACCACAGACTGCATCTGGGGACAACACCTATATCTCGTCTCTATAAGAAAAGGTATCAGTCCTTTCTGGAGACACCTATCAACTCATACTCACTCATGTCCTCACCCGCTTATCCATTCATCTGTTCACCTATATACTAACATATCCACTCATCCCATCCATCCATCCATCCACCCCCTTCTATCCATGTATCTATTCCTCTATCTACTCTCTCATCAATTATATATTTGTATGTTTATTTACCAATTAATTCACTTACCTCATCCATCCACCCTGTATTTCCTAGATCCCCATGCCAGGAGCCCAGAGAAGACTCTGCTATGTCTCTTCCTGTCAAAAGGCCCACAGCTTGCCTACAGCAAGAAGACACTGAGGAACTGGTACCCTTGTGGAGGGGAACAGCATGCAGGAGTCCAGCCCTGACTATGGCCTCATTTTCCTAGGCCAGGCTCATTTTCTAATCTGAGCTGCCAGTCTGAGAAACTGAAGGAAGTATGTGTCCTTTTGCCCATTTCCTCTTGCATGGTTTCAGGATGTTCTGCAGTCTAGCTCTCCCAGCCTGGTCTGGAGGGGGCTGGACTTCTGCCTCAGACTGAGCTGCCCCAGCCTCTTCTCAGTGTTCACCTCGGCCTAGAAAAGATGCCCCTTCAGAGTTCCTTTGCCTCATCTGGTTGTCATTGTGACATTGGCCTTGTTCCCAAGACCGCCATAGGCTAAAGATGCTTATTTTGATGGCCAGGAAACAGGTCTGGACAATCCTAACTCAAAAGCTGGCTTTGGGTTAGCCACAGACTGACTTTGCCACAGTTGGGTGTGTGGATTTGGGTGAAATCTTTTCCCTCTTTAGCTCAGCTCTCTCTACTGTCTATTTTATTTTTTTTAGCATTTGCATTGCTACAGATGGAATCTTCTTTTAATGGTAATTTTATTGCTGAGTAACAAGAGTTGGACTGCATATGACTTATGTGCCAAGCATTGTGCTAAGCACTTTCCACTTACTAAATCATTTAATCTTTACAATAAGACTATTATTTCCCCCAGGATTTTGTGACCAAGGAATTTGAGAGCTTAGGTTACTTGTTTGCAGCTAATGAGAGGCTGCATCCAGACAGTCTTACCCCAGCAGAGGAGCTTCAATCCCTATCTACTCACACAAAAAGAACCCAACAGCCAGGGTACAGCCAACATTCCACAAAGACAGGAGAGGGATCCTCCCTTAGATGCTAGTGTTTGAGGTGTAACAGGACTCTGGTGCCCAAGAGGTAAGCAACCTTGGCTTGGATTACAAACCAAAGCACCTAGGCTCCAAGTGCCTGGTCTCTCTTGGCCCTCACCGCCTGTACCCTGCCCTAGATGCACTGGCTGAATACTGGGCCATGGCCTCAGTCCCCCAAGGCCGAGGTGAGGTTGGAGCCTCACTGCCACATTCTGAAGCTCTTCGAATAATACCTTCCAGTCCCCAAGGCCCCAAGAGTTCCCTTTGGCTGTAACTGAGCAGCATATACCTCAGTCTCAGCCCACCCCAAAGGTCTGCACCCAGGTGGCTGCCCCATGGCCCAAAGCCTCTTCTGGGATTTGCGTCACTCTCTTTCTGCTACATCTGTGGGACAAAATCACCAACAGGCTCTCAGTTATTTTTGGAAGGCCTGAAGAACAGAATCAAGCATGCCAATCTCCCTTGATTCCCAAGTCGAGGGAGAGAAGACCAAAATGTCATAATTTCTGGCATTGCCCCCAAGGTCTCTTACCCTCTGTCTGTACATGTTCTCTGACCTATTTTCTCCCTTTGTCACTTCTGCCTCCTTGAGCCTGTAGCTCCAGGGTGATTCGGGTAGATGCTCAGCTCAGGGTTCAGGAGCTGCCTGCTCCCTCCTTCCTCCCTCACCAGTTCTTAGTCCCTGGCTGCTGACTCACGCACTCCTCCCGGATTCAGTAAAGCTGCTGGTGGCTTCTGAAGTTTGTCCTGATTGTGAAGGCTGCAGCTGGCTCAGGGGCAAAAGGGGGGATGAGGGCCTGGCCACATTTGGAAGGTAAACAAAGAGCCCAGCTGGTCACCCAGAGATGCACATGAGGTAGAAATGCCCTACATCTGGATGCCCACAGGCACCTGGAAGGGCAGATTCTGGCGTTCTCTTCTGTCATCTGAATGTTGTTAATTATAAAGAGGCAACCTGTTCTTCTAAAGCAGAGAATTCAGCACTATGAACCTGGGCAGCTTTGCTGGGACAGTGAGTTTGGTTTCACTTATCTAAACCAGTACTGTTACTACTACTCACAACAGCAGCAGCATCGGTAGCAGTCTGTAAAAGTGGCTACAGTCAGTCCCCTCTCTGAATCTATATCCTTTGTATCACCCCTCCCAACAGAAGTGGCCTCTTCCATTGATTCTGGGCTGGCCTCCTGCCTGTATGGGCTAATAAGATGTGTCAATTCAGAGTCCTGGCTTCCAGACAGCCTGCACACTCTGGTTCTCCCTCAGAATTCTGTTCCCAAGGCTAGCCTGTGGGAGGAGGCAAGACCATGCAGAATAGAGATGAGCCAGCCTAGCTGACACCAGGCTAGATAGGTCCATCAAGCTGATGTGCAAAGGAGCCCAGATATCAGGAAAACCACCTTGCTGAGCCCAGCCTTGATGCCAACCAGGGCTTTTGTGCCAAATGTAGCTGGCAGTTGGTATCCACAAGGGACTAGGTCTATGACTGTCAGCAGATACTCATTAGGTAAGCTTAATCCCTTAAAGAAAATAGCACAGTATTTGCATAAAGCCTATAGAGTCCTTTCATAGACTTTAAATCTTTCAATTATTCATAATACCTCATTCAGTATAAATACTCTGTAAATAGTTGTATTGTTTAGTGCATAACAACTAGAAAAAGTCTGCACATGGTCAATACAGATACAACCATTGTAAGCTTACCTAGAATTTTTTCCTGAATATTTTAGATCCACGATTGGTTCAGCGCATACAGAACCTGTGGATATGCAGGGCCATCTGGACACAGTTTTATTTTGAACCACTAAGTTTTAGAATAGTTTTTTTGTGTAGAACAAGCTAACAATTTAACACATAAAAGGTTGTTGTATGTGTATGTGGGTCAATCTCAGGATTTAAAAATAGTAACTTATAAAAATCATCAGTAATAAATAATATTTAACAATAATCTCATTTCTTTGGTTATGCAAACATGATAGCAATTTTAAGTCAAAGAGAAATGAATTGCTTATCATCTGACCATCCCAGGGTGTACTGGCAGGGATTGAACATTCCAATGCAGGAGCCCTGCACCACCCCCACGGTTGGCTCCCTGCCAGGACAAGATGTAGCTGGACCCACTCACCAGGATCTTGGTGGTATAGGCGCTGTTGATTGCGATGGCATTGACCAGCAGCTCCATGGTCTTGGCATTGATGGAGCTGGGGTCAGGGACCTCCTTGTAGTGGACGTCACCCACGTAGGCCTGCACAACGGTCATGCGGTTGGTGGTGAGCGTGCCCGTCTTGTCCGAGCAGATGGCCGTGGCGTTGCCCATGGTCTCACAGGCGTCCAGGTGGCGGACCAGGTTGTTGTCCTTCATCATTTTCTGGGAGAGGGGGAAGGGGAGAGGGCGGCCGTGAGGAGCTGAGTGCGAAGTGGGGGTGCTGTGCACTGGGAGGCACAAAGTGAGCAGGCCCTGCAGCCCTCACACCTTGGCTGCTTTCCCAAGAGCGGCCCCTTTCCTTCCCTGTTACTATCTGCACCATTTAAAAGACTGACTAATTGAATTTGTTAATTTGAGTTACAGAAGTCACCTGCATTTTTTGTGGAAAAAATAATGGAAAGGATGAAAAACTAAGGCTGCATCTTCCCTAGTTACTCCAGTGTTTCACTCTTCACCCAACATAAATGACTAGTCCTTGTTTGGTTATGGTTCTTTTTTTTTAACTATATAATTTTTTTAAATTTTTCTGTTGCCTGGTTTTCATTGTTACTTTAATTTCACCAAAAATAAATTTAGGCTATTTATGTGGTTAAAGGAAAACAAGTGGAAAAAATTAAAGTATCAGTGTCATCATTTCTTGGTGACAGAACTTCAAGTTTTTAGACTTTTTTAAATCTACAGATTCTATTTTTCTACAATGAGCACATATTAGAACATGCATAATAAAACCCCCAAATTTCTTACACAAAAAGGAAAAAGAAAATGATCCATAAACTAACACTTAGAATGGACACATCTTGTATATCAAATTCTCTCTTTTATTCAACTCGAGTTCTTGCGCTTGTGAGGCAGGCAGCGGCACCACGGAGCCAAATCCCTGGCCCTCAAACGCTCTTTTTATTTGTTTGTTTGTTTGTTTTTGGTACCCGGGAATGAACTCAGGTCCTTGTGCTTGCGAGGCAGGTGGCGGCACCACTGAGCCAAATCACTGGCCCTCAAATTCTCTCTTTAAATGTACGACCAAATGGAATCCTGCTGTGGTATCATCAGTATTTTCTTCTGTATAACTCTTCCTCTCTGGCCTAGCTCCACAGTCCTAGCTTCTATCAGGTCCTCAAGCAAGTGACGCAAACAAAGCAGTCTTTCTCCTCTCTCTGCATTTCCAGCGTCTTCCCAAGCTGTTAATTAAAACTTTTATATTAGTATGTGTTTGCAGTACTTCCACTGTGGGAAGTTAGAGTGCGTATATATATATATACCACATCTCAACTCTTTTTACGTCCCTTCCCTTTTCCCTCCCTCCCTCTTCTCAGTTTCTTTCCCATTTTGCCCTGTGATCTATCACCTATCTTTTAATAAAGCCATTCTCAAAGAACCGTGTTCCTCATGCAGGCTCTCCCCAGAAACGTGCCGACCCCATCTGGCAAGTGGGGACCTGGAAATGTATGGAAGGCAGGACCAGATGGATCCTGGTCCATGCCTAGGGGTTTGATTTCCTTAACTCTTTCTCCTGTACCAACCACTTACAGCACAGGTAAGAGGGAATCATAACTAGATTTTTTTCTTTTTTTTTAAGCTTTGGACAAGATAAAACCTTTCTTTATAAATGTTCTATCCTGAAAGTGAACACAGAAAAGGATTTGAACAAAAATGTTTAAAATCACAGGAAACAAAACCAAATTCTGCTAAAATCAAGAGAAAATCAAAACCAATCAACAGCCACAAGAGGGTTAAGACAAACTGACTGAGATAGAACAGCCGCATCAACTTTCCTTTGAGCCCTCTATCTCCCTCGTTTTGGTTTCACAAGTTAATACCTAGCTCAAGCATATCCACGATACTTGTGGCCTTATTTCTACCCACTCCATGAAATAGTGGAGCCACTCATTTAATAAATATAATATCAAAGAGGTTGCCTCCATCCACAAAATACATTAAGAAAACTGTTGCTCAGAGGGGCTGGAAATGCTCTTAAGAATAGAGTCGTATACCAAGTCCAAACCAAGGCACATTTTCTCGTAAAGTCTTACTTCAACTCAAGCCAAACTGTTTCTTTCGGGGATTTTTAGTGAGAAATTTGCAACTGCAGTTTTAGTTCATAGACCAAACCAAAGGCTATTTTTTTTTCTTTCAGTTCAGTACCCATTCTCATTCATCAGAAAATATAAGAAGTACATAAGTTGTTGATAGGTAGCATTAGGAATATAACAATCAGGAAGAAAACCAGCTACCAATTATTGTACCTGAGACCATTGCTAATAAGAAACTTTAGTAAGTAGCCTTGTGATCTTGGCTATAAATGCTATGCTTGGTGACTTTTGAAATCTCTGGACATTCAAGTTGGTCAGTTTTTCCATTTTGTAAGAGGAAGATTGGGCGATCAATATCTTTTTTCTGGAAGCTTTATGGAATAAAGTTGGCTGGTGTGAAGTGAGTTATTATGAGGCAGAGTGCCCACAGGTAAAGCTTGAACGCTGCACACTTTCTCCTCTTTCCAGGTGTTTTGTGTTTCTTGATTCTCTTTGACCAACAGAGACCTTAGAGTTGCCATGGTGGGTCTGGGCCTGCGGGACTTTTCTCAGGTCCCTTTCCAGTATGGCTACCGCAGACTTTTCCAAGTTTGGCTGTTGCTGGGGCTCCTGTGTTGTCTTCAGGGAGGGCCTGAGAATTTCACTTCTGGCCAGTTTCAGAAGAAGGTCTCTCCCTTGGATCAGGGCAGATCATATTCTTGAGCAAATTACGAAAATCTGGGTCCCCAAGGAATGTCTGTAAAACTATGGATATGATGCCACAACCACAACACAGGCGGTTAAAGTCTTTGCTCCTGCAGTCACTGCAATTGTTAGTTCTAGGGCAAATATGTTGGCTTTGGGAAGGTGTCAATAATCCTTTTGCAAAATCTCATTAGCTAGAAAGCAAGCATCTCCTTCTTCCACTTGAGATTTGCTTACTGACATCATACGGCCCAGGTCACCAATTTTATACATTACGCTGGCAGGGAGAAATGGACCAGTTCCATTTCCAACCTCTCCTGGGACTCCAGGAGAATCACTTGGAGAATCACACACGTTATGACAAATGAAAACAGCACTAGGCTTGATATCCAGCTGTGCCAGGCCAGAGCTGTGGAAGTACTGAAGCCCTGAGGAAATTTGCAGAAGGGTGTCTAAGAGACTTGTCTTGGAAATGACCACCAGACTTTATGTTTTCAGATACAGCAGCTCACAAGCTCCCATTACTGCAGTACTTGTTCCGCATGATCACTGTTTATCTTCTGCCCATGAGGAATAGCAGCGTACCACATAGGGGTGATGCCCTCCAACTGCACGAGCATAAACTTCACACAGACACAAGTTCTCGTTTGATGATACTACCAAAGGTTTCATAGAGTGCTTTACTGCATAAACACACCTATCCAGCCTCTTAATGCACTCGTAGACTATACCAAATTCCCAACTCCAATATTTTCCAGCTCCAAGAATTCTTTTTCATAGCGGAAATCCATGTTAGCTTCTTGTAGAGCACTTTTTTTGGTAGGCACCCCTTGCTGTAATTTGCCTTTCTCTGCACCGGCTTCCTCAGGGTCTCCTAGGGTTTTCTTCTGGCCCTTTGACTGAAGGAATAATTTCTTCTAGGCCTCGGGGGTAGAAGGGTAACACTGACTAGAGACAGTGAGGAGGACTCATCCATGAGGTGAGCTGGTATGGACGAAATCACCTGCTGCTGACCTTCCTGTTGAAGAAATCACCAGCTGGCCCAACAAATTTTGGGAGTGGAGGGGCTGTCATCCTGCCGCAGGCTGCTCCTATGGGCGGCTGGAGCTGGTGTCACAGGACACCTGGGAGGGTCTGACCCTGGAGTCTGCAGAATGCAATTCGAACGTTCCCTGTCTTCCTCCTGAGATGTTCCAAGTTTGGTTATGTTCTTGAGAGGAGTCCTGGGACCCTCTGCATCCGAGCTCAGGGCTTTGGGTTGGAGTCTTCACATCCTGAACCTCACTCTTCTCAGGCTCGGGCTCAAGCTCTTCACATCCTGAACTTCATCCTTCTTGGGGCTTTGGCTCAGTGCCTCACTGCTCTCTTGTGTTGTCTTCTGCCCTTCGTTCTCAGACTCTTCACAAAAGGAAAAGTTTAATTTCTGATTTGGCTCTTTGTTTAGACCTTTGTCATCCATCTCAGTGAAGGTGACTATAATGTAGCAAAGGATCTCTCAGAAGGGAACAATGAATGTAAAGATAGAAGGAGAAAAGAACTGAAAGCAGCAAGTTCCACAACTTCAGCTTGCCTTCCTCTCTATCAGGTAACAGAGACCAGAATGATTTTAACAGAAGCTTATGTGACTAAAACGTGAGTACTAGTAAGATTATGTTAGTGTCTTTTCCCTTGAACTCTGTGATAATAGCGATAATAAATGTATGTTGAATGGATGATCAACAGAAATCTGAACTTGCAACATTCTTTAGAATCTGCAAAACCCTTTTGCATTTATTTTCTTGTCTGACGTTATAAGAATCCTATGATACTCTGGGAAGCTGAGGCAGGAGGATCTGAAGTTTCGGCTCAGTCTGGGTAACTTAGTCTTCACATGTAACTCAGTGTGAAGTCCCTGGGTTCAATGCCCAGTACTACAAAAAACAAAACAAAACAAAAAAATCCTGTGAGACCTGAAAAGGATCCTTATAGTCCATTTTGGCAATGGGAGAAATCTAGGCCAAGCGGGTTGACCAGGACCACACACCTGGGGAGGCTGAAGGCTGGAATTCAAATCCAGTCCTCCTGGCCCTTGGTGCCTTAATTATTCCAGGCAACCTCAGCCACCTTCTCTCTCTCAAGATGGTTTGCCTGTTGGCCTTAAGACCTCTCAGTTGGGACTGTCCTATCAGGTGGATATGTGCAGCTACTGGGCACTCGAAGTGTGGGTAGTCCAAAGTGTAGGCATAAAACATACACTTGCCTGGGAAGACACTCCACAAAAAGTCAAACAAAAGAAACCTTTCTGTAATTTTTATATATATTATGTGTTGGACTGAGAATAATTCAGACATGTGAATTGTGAAGGAAAAAATATGGAATGTTTACATTTTAAAACATTATAGCACAAGATGCATTGCCACGGATCCCCCTCAAAATAGTCCCCCTCGCTCTGAACGCACTCACCCCAGTGTTGCTGCCACTTTCTGAAGCCGCTCTGGAACTGCTGTTTTGTGAGTGTCTTTAGTTGCGCTGCGGTGGCTGCCTCCATGTCCTGAACTGACCCCAAATGTTTAACTTTCATGGGTCTTTTGACTCAGGGAAGAGTCAGGAGTCCCAGGACCAGATCCAGCGAATAAAGTGGACCACGTTTTCACGGGCCTGACTTTCTGCTGGACGGCCCTTGGCGGCAGCACTCACGACGCTGGTTATCCAGTCTCGTAAAGACACCCACGAGAGAGGACGTCCAGAACTGCTTCAGAGAGCGGCAAGCACTATACGGGGTAAATGTGTTTGCAGAGAGAGGGAGGATTCTGAGGAGGATCCATGGCAATGTGTCTTTTACTGTAATAATTTTTAAAAGAATTTAAACATTCACCATGTATTTCAATCACACTTTGTACTGGTTAAGAAAATTGTAATGTTAAAGTTAACCTTACCTGTTTCTTTTATCTTTAAAAAGATGTAGCTACTGGGAAACTTAAAATGACAAACATGGTCTCCATTCTATCCCTTCGGGGCAGCCCGGAGCAGTCATCCCTGTGCTCTTGGGACACTTTAGTGGCAGCCCTGGTTCCAGCCTGCCTCTCCTGGGCTGCAGCTCTGTCACTGATCAAGTGAATGCATGAGTAACATGACCTACGCTGACCAAGGTGCCAGGTGCCAAAGACACAAACTGTGGGGGCCTAAGATGCTGGGCCCACAGTCCCCCAAGCCCACTCCACACAACTCTCAAGGGAGCCCCAGCTCCGTGGGGTGGCTGTGGAGAGACCCTACTGATGGCCACAGAAGTGTTGTCTTTGCCAGGCCCTGGACCCCATGAGGGGGAGAGTGTTGTGCCCCATCGGGGCTTTGGTTTGTGGGATGGAGTTTCTCCGAGAACGCTAAAACAGGGAGATGATAAGGGCCGTATCCTTTACACAGAGCTGCCACTTGCTGGCACCAGCCTGGAGATCTCTTTTCTGTATGAAATTACATAGGCGCCCAGCCCAAATTCCGGCTTGGAAACTGATGCTCACTGAGTCCGCCCACATCTCTGCCAATTTCTCTGAGCAAAGGCCCTCTCTGTAAACACAGTTGAACCGCACCTTGTGGGACATCTTGGCATCAGGACCCTGCGGAGCAGGAGCCCAGCCCTCTAAGCTGGGGAAGCCTCATGGTGAGGGGAAGGAGACAGTGGGCTGCGGGAACCCAGAGTGACCCACAGAGTCAGACCACAGTGCGGGGCTCCTGGGACACAGGCAGAGGTGGGGCTCTGTGGAGCCTTGGTGCACAGGAGCCTCCCAGGCCTGAGCTTCACCAAGTACTCATGGGCCTGGCAGCCCTCCATTTATCTGCTTTTAAAACCTCTTAGCCAGGCCAGGTGACACACACCTGTAATATCAGCACTCAGGAGGCTGTGCAGGAAGGTCACAGAGAGTTTGAGGCCAGCCTATGCTATGTGGTGAGTTCAAGGTTGGCCTGCACTACATGGTGAGACCTTGCCTCATAACACCCCAAAACCAAGGTGCCTATAACTGTGACTGCCAGGCCTCCATCTAGATGCAGTGGGATGGGTGGGTTTGGCTCACATGGAGATATCTACATTTCAGTTTTTCTGCAGTGCTAGGGATTGAGCCCAGGGCATTGCGCGTGTCAGCAAGTACAGACCACCAGGCCATATCCATGTCCTGTCTTATTTTTTAAAGTTGAGTTGACTACCAATAAATATCTCGAGAGCTCATACAAGTCCAAATTTCTGGCTTCTTTTGAGAACACCGTGCAGAAGTGTCCGCCCTGAGACTGCACCCCATGAGCAAGGCCTGGCCAGCTGTGAAGTGGGGGGCCCTGTGGACAGGGTGTGGCTCTCGCTGGCCCGGGATTCTGACAGTGTCTGAGTTTTGGGATCTGCACAGTCCTCTCTCTGAGCCCCTGGGGCACTTGAGTGCTTCTTCTGAGCTCACTTCCCCATGCCCACCCCCACCACCCCTCCACCCCGCAGCTCACCTTCACCGAGTAGGCCAGGGAGATGGTGACAGCCAGGGGGAGGCCCTCGGGCACGGCGACCACCAGCACCGTCACGCCAATGATGAAGAACTTGACGAAGTACTGCACATACACAGGCGTGCACTCGGGCAGCCACGGCTTCTTGTTCACCACAAAGGTGTCCACGGTGAAGTAGAGCACCAGGATGATCACTGTGATGGCTGACATCACCAGGCCTGCGACACGGGGACAGCAGTGGGTGGGGAGTGGGACGGGAACTGAAACTCGGCTGCAGAGTGCTGGGATCGGCCAGACCTGGGCCCACCTCCCCGCTTCGCTACTTCCTCACTTTGTGACTGGAGCTTCAGCGAGCCTTGGTCTCCTCTTCTGTACAATGGGGATACAAATCCCCTCTATGTGTTTTGCAAGGCTGAGCTGTAGGAACGCATGCAAAACGACTAGCACAGTGTCCCAGAAATGTGTGTTGTACAACAGCAGAACAGAAAGCACCATCGGAGTGAAACTGACTCTCCCTGTTTACTCACTCATCTGACGTCTATCGTGTGCTAGGTACTTGGTAGTTCCTGGTCTCCGAACTAGGGACACAGCAGTAACAAAGCCAGACAGAGTTCCTGTTCTCGGGGACCTGATACCCTAGAGGGGTAGGCAGTCAGGAAACAGACAAACAGAGCAACAAGATCATCTCAGATATGGAGAAGGGCTGTGAAGCTAAACACTGATGTGATGTGGCAAAAGGTGACAGAGAGTGGCACGGAGAGACTGCACTAGCCAGGGGGCCGCAGATACCTTGGAGGAGGTGACATGTGAGTGCACACTGAAACAAAGAGGGGAGCAGACACCTGGTGACCCGGGGGATAGCTTTCCAGGCAGGGGAAACAAGAGGTGGCCATTTTTTGGATGAAGAAGCTGAGACTCGGACAGGAAGTGTCTTGCTGTCAGGCCTGGGGGGTGCTATAGCAGCAGGGACACAGTTGGTGACCTGCCCAGATTCCCCAGGGTTGTGACCTGAGACTTCAGTGCATCCATCTCCCACAAAGGCTGGGAGACAGCTTATACCTGCAGCCTCTGCCAGAGGAGGATGGCATGTGGGCAACTGGAGTCCCCTTGTCAGGAAGAAGCCAGGAGGATGCCCACCCCCACCTGATGTTCAGTGTCCCAAGGCCCGTCTACATGCTGCAAGGTAGACAGGTCCTGCCTCACCGTGCATGGTCCAGGGGTCCCAGGGACAAGCCTAGAGCTGTCTCTGGAAATGTCTGCAGAGTCAAGCACCTTCCCTAGCTGGGACCTCCCTGGAGGAATCCTCCACACACCCTGTGCCTCCTCAATTTTCCTTTCAGGGCACTCAGCCCAAGGGAGAGGCAGGGGTGAGTTGTGAACCTGATGTGCTCGACTGTGCACTTCTTTCTTGGCAGGGTGAGGTGTGGGAGCCAGGCCCATTAAGGGCACAGGGTTGTCGTCACTTAGCCCTCTCCCCACCTCTGCCATTTTCTTGCAGAGCCCTATGACAGCAATGGCAGCAGATGAAGGAAATCCCGGGACCTCACCCCCACCCCCACCTCCAGCTGCAGAGCCTTGGAGCCTGCTCTACCCCTGGCTGACAGTGGCAGGGGCGGGAAGCCAAGCTCCCAGAAGCCTGGTGCTGTCACTAGGCCCCAAGTTTAAATATAGACGGCCAGGCCTATAATTTGCCTCCCTTCTCCATGTTGTGTTGTCTATAATTAGAGCCAGGGAGACAGTCACAGCGAAGGGAGCAACCAGGTGGGGAAGCCTTGGCATTTACCACATCTGTAGCCAGGGGGGGAGGGTCAGGTCTACGGTCTGGGCCCCACCTGACACGGGATTGGCACTGTCTGCAGCTAGTGCCTCAGCTAGAAGGCCTGGCTTGTTCCATGTTGCTCAGATGGTGGGCTCCCTGGGTCCCGGCACTGCTCTCAACCCCCCTTTCAACCTTTATTTCTGCCCTGCAGCCAGGGTGATCACTGTAAGCCCCAGTCTATCAACCTGCTCAGACCTCTTCCCTGCTCAAATCCACCCTTTGCTCCTCTGTCCCGATGATAAAGTCCATGGTACCTCGAACTCTAAGCCTTGCAAGATCTGCTCCCTTCCCAGCTACCGCAAATGCCAAGTGCCAAGCACTCGGTGTAAGCAATCTCCGTTATCCCCCAGCAGATATCCTCTGTTATCTGTCCCTTCTGAAGCAGGGACAAGTGTCATCCCTGTTTTACAGGTGAGGAGACAAAGGCTCAGAGCTAGGAAAAGTTACCTGGCCAAGTTCTCACACCCACGGTGGACCACAGAGCAGGCAGCTGCCCCAGAGCCTCAGCTTTTGACTCCAGTCTTCTGCCCTCGTAAGTACTGAGCCCACTCTGTAGGGGACCCAGCTCTATCCCTGCAGCGGAGCAGGGGACCATCTGATCTGAGCCCCTTGCAGATCAGGTGCCTGAGGGCCTGGCCCTGCTGCACACTCACCTGCCTTTCCGATCTGCACAGCCAGCTTGGTGAGCTTGCCCTGCAGGACGGACTTCTCCTTCTTGTGCATGTTGGCCTTCTTCTTGTCATCGGCATCGCCACCTTCAGCGCTCTTGAGAGGCTGCATCTCCATGGCAGCTGCCCCATCTTGCTGTTTGGCTGCAGGGGCACAATGTGCAGGCACGCGTGCGCGCACACACACACACCCACACACACACACACACACACACACACACACACACAGACACAGACACAGACACAGACATGTGCCGGTCACCCTGCAGCCAGCCACATGGCCCCCACCTTGCCTGCCCAGGGAAGTGCTGGCCGCCTGCCTGTGCTGCTCGTGGCTGGCACAGAAGTCAGGGATGGGACTGCGTTTCCCAGCTGGAGTCTTAGGTCACCATGGCCCTTGTTGTGCCGGAGCTGGAATCTAGAATTTCCAGCAGCACTGGGCTGCAGTCCCCTGAACAAGACCCCTGCCCAGATGGTTCCTTGTCTTTCTGCTCACCAGACACGATCAAGAATTTGGGATTTCCCAGCATGTCATTAAAGACAAGCTCTCGGGAGCAAGTGGATAGGAGGGACAAAAATGAGGCTTAAAAAGGAGAAGAGAGTGTGCCCATGAGCAGATGCTGAATCCCTGTGCCCAACTACTGTGGCCTCTCCAGTGTGAGACTGACTGGAGGGCTTGTGGCTCCTGGACAGAGATGCGAGGGAGACACCAGCCTATCAGTGTCCCCTCTTCCCACCAGCAACACATCTTCATTTGGCTTGGAACCCCAAAACCACAGTGGCACCTCCAAAGAACCCCCCGGGGATGTGGATGCATCCAGCTGGGCCCAGCGAGCTCCTGCCCCTGGCGTGGTGCTCAGCTCTGGTGGGGAGGGGCCGTGGGGACAATGGAGTCATCAGTTCAGACGGTTACCTTTGCTCTGGCTGGCGTCCACATTGCCATCCTGCATTTTACCTACACGACAGAGAATTTTAACAACCAACAGAGAACAGACAACACAGGTCGGTCAGCACGAAGACGCAACAGGCCACGGACATTCACGTCACAGACAAGGAAGGGCTGAGCTGACTGGGGGGAGGAGCAAGGGGAGCCTGGCCACCCCAGTAGCCACAGGGGCCATCGGTCCTGGGGGGCTTCTAAGGGAGGGTTTCTGTGGGAATAAGCTCGGTCCTGAGCATTTTACAGGTAACAGAACTGTGTCCAAGGGAAAACCCTCTGCTGATGGGGAGGAGAGGGAGAACCTCAGGCCTCTCTAACCAGCCCTTCACGATGGATTTGGCTCATGTGTTTGTGGGTGGAGAGGAGCGAAGAGAAACTTGTTCAGCTGCTTCTTTTTTGTTTTCCTATCAAAGAAAATATGCACATACTTTGGAGAGAGAGAGACAGAGAGAGAGAGAGAGACTAGAATGAAGGAGTACGGTGGAGGGGTACTGAGGACAGTGTCTTTGTTTTTGGGTCTAGGAGGGATGGCTCTACTTCCTCTGTGTCTGTCTTTTTTTTAATTTTTGAAACAGGGTCTCACTAACTATGTAAGTGAGACTGGTCTGGAACTCACTATGTAGCCCAGGTTGGTCTCGAATTCACAGCGCTCCTCCTGCCTCAGCCTCCTGAGTGCTGGGATCACAGGCGTGCGCCACCACACCCGGCTACCTCTGTGTCTCTCTGAAGGTGTAAAGCTGTGGCATGGATGGTCCCCTTCCCCGATGGCCCTGAGAGTAACCGGCAGGGAGAAGTCCTCAGTGGTGGTCTGAGAGGCCCCAAGGATGTCGGGGGCCTAATGGAAGTGTCCTGTCCCGAGGAGAAGCTACTGCTGCCTGGAGAAGCGGGGGTCTTCATTCTGCAGCTAAGTTGTTTTAGGGGCTCCTTCAGGAACCCCATCCCATCCCAGGGCCCATGTTGCCTAGTGCAGAGTCAAGGTTGAATCTGGAGCTCTCAACCTGTAATGAGGGCTGCCTGGGAGGCCCCTGACCTGTGTCTCTCAAGACCCACAGCTTCCTGTCCACAGGGCCTCTGGGCCTTGTCACCTCCAGAGGTCTGAGAAGGTCAGCCACCTGGACTTCTCCTGCCAGACCCAGCAGCTGCTGAGTCCCGAAAGCCTCCATGGTCTCATCTAATGCCTGCCTCAGCCTCTCCACAAAAGACATCCCTGCCTTGCACCCACTGACAGATGAGAACTGAGGCTCTGAGAGGGAAGTGTCCTGCCTCTGTCTGGGGGGTGGGCACAGGACGGGCCCCAAAGTGTATGCGTATTTTCGCTGTGCTCTCTTTTCTCCAGAAGGCCCTCAGCCCAGAGAAGGGTACGCAGGGGAGGGCTGCCTGCCTAGTTCCCAGGGTCTTGATACCAATTAGCTGAATGCTTCTCCACTCCTGGTTTTAGTTTCCACTTTTGTACAACAGGGTGAGATGTTTGTGCCGAGTGCCCAAAGGTTCCCCCTCTAATCTCCAGTCTCATGGTTCACCCTCTGGCTGTTTATAAGGGTTGTTAGCCGATGTTTTCTCATAAATCCCTGCGACGTGGGGCAGGAGGACTGTCAACACTGCTGCTTTACAGAGGAGGACACCAAGGCCAAGGGACGATCAGCAGCAGCCCGCACTCATGGAACCTCTTCCCGAGACTCCGAATTGACTCCGGAGTGAGCAGTGCTGCCCTGGACCCTCCAGTCCTCCTTGGCCCAGTGTCTGCTGATGCTGCCCCTGTTGCCTCTCCTAGCCAGGGCTCAGCAGCCTGCCCGTGTTTAAAGAGAAAGATCTCTGCTGCTGTGTTGTAAAAGTCTGCCGGGTTTAAAATGATAAGGAGAAAACTTTTTAGAGCAAACAGAAATTTATTTCTTAAAATAATTTTACTAACTAGGCTAAGGGGTATCAGAGGACTTGGCTTCAATAGTCTCTTTGAGAAGGCTCAAAGGGGCCTTTATTTGCATTGCATATTATCCCATGTGCTAGCTGGTGTGTGCACCCATCAGACCTAGCTAGCAATTTCCTCTTTTATTGCCATAGTGATCATGTGGCCAGAAAAATAATCACCAATGCATATGTCGGAGGAAGGGAGCTATGTTTTGGGAGTGCTTCAGCACAGATGGCCTGGTTTCTCAGAAGAAAGGCTTATTTAGGGCTCTTCTTGGCCAAACTAGTGCCTGCCTCACCCTGCACCATGGTGAGCCCAGGAGGCTGGGCTGTATTTCAGGGGAACAAGGGACATGGGACAAGACAGGGGGCTGGGCTGGGGTCTCAGAGGCTCTTCTCTGTTTCAAGATGCTGAGTTCTGAATGGCCTTTTCTTTCTTGTTATCATGAAGGGCAAGGGTGTGGAGAGCAAAGGTTTTGTGGGATTCCTGTAAGGTCACCTGATCAACAAGCTTTGGAAAGATGGATGCTAAGCTAGGAGACCTGGGAAATGTCACTCCTTTTCCTCCTCTGAAATGGGTGATGCTTACAAGATGTTCCTGTAAAGTCTTATGCAGATGTTGGGAGCTCAGTGATGTACATTAGCCATGAGTAAAGCTGGAACTGCAAGTGATATACTGAATAGTGACAGCTGAATGCACACAAAAGAAAGCATAATAGCAATCACAATGCCTCCAAGGTGACTGGAACAGATCCACCTTTCAGAGGGGATGCTTGGGGGAGCAGGATGGGTGATACCGCCATCTAATTTTGTTTCCCTGTATCTAAATCATTGAGACTGGCTCAGAAGAAGGAGGGGATGTTGCACCCAACTTCCTCTTACTCGCCAAGGTTCAGTTTCATGCCTCTGAACCTTCAATGTGTTCTGTCCTGGAGCCTGAACGGTTTGTAAAATTCCGATACTCATTTGATTGGTCTGGGGCAGGTCCTGGGGTTTTGCATTTCTGACAAGCTCCCAGGTGACGCTCGGGCTTTGGCTCCTCTGATCACATTTTCAGTAGCTATGGCTCACAGCACTGTTTCCCAAAGTGTACAACAGGGCACACCAATTCCACAGGGAACTCGCAGGAGAGGTCGTAGCATCAAATCAGCCCAGGGGCCCTAGATGACCAACCAGCCCCCACTGCACACCACACACCAGTGTTCTAGCTCTGAGGACTTCTTGTTAGGAAGAACCAACTCAGTCCAGTGTTCTCTAACAGCCTTGACCACAGGCCCTTCCCAGGGAGAGACCTCTTCATGTCCCTGCAACACTCACAAGATATACCACGATGGGGAATTCTGCACCAGGAGGAGGAGCACACCCTTTGGAGCTGGCCATGTCTGGGATCTGTATGCAAATCGCAGCCCCGCTGCTTTCTAGCTCTGGGACCCCAGCTAGTGGCTTGATCCCCTTGAGCCTCAGTCTCTTCGTCTTTAAAGCAGCGACAGCACAACCTGTGTTATGGGTCTTCCCAAGGGTTAAATGAATGAAGAGCACGAAACCCTTGCAACAGTGTCTGACAGACAACACATGGTCAAGAAAGAAAAATTCCTCATCTTTCCTGCAGTTTGGCTTGTAATACTGGGACTTTTGATCTGTGGTTTGGGAGTAAAACTCCCTTTTTTGGGACCTGGCCAGCCAGGTTGGGATCCTTATGCTTCACCTGCCACCTCCCGGTTCCTCCTCTCCCAGCCATAGCTTTGTCCACGTCACTCTTCCTGTCATCACCGCTCAGTCACCCTCCCTGATGCATGACACCTCCCACATCCCAAGCTGTCCTCTTTCCTCCTTCTGGATCTGAAATAGTCCTACCCAGAATTAGCACAGGGCTTGCAGAAGTGCCTTGCCCAACCCAGACATCTTCAAGGTGCTTCCAACCCTTGTCATGTGAAGGTAGGTGGGTCGGACAGAGGCCTGGAGCAGGGGATGGGAAGATGGGATAGGACAAGGGTCCCCACACTTTGCAGGAGTGGAGATGGGTGCATGATGTAAGGGGTGAGAATCCTCTAGTCTTGTGCCTAGAAGGCAGTTATGCTGGGAAACAAAGACCTCTGGCCCTTCTCTTGGCTTCTTTGGGGTAGTGTGTCCATGACCAGGCGCTAACGTCTCTGGATAGCTCCCGAGCAGCCTGGGTAACTATCATGTCATCTAACTTGGCAACATGGGTGGTACCTGAGTCAATGGAAGCCTCAGCTGTTGCCCTGAGGATGGGGAAGTATAGAGATCAGAAATCAGAGGCTGGAGGCAAGAGAACGGAATTCCTGTTTGCCTGTGCATAGCAGAAGGACAGGATGCAGACGCTCAGGGACACAGGCAACCCCAGCCTGACCCCACACACCACCCTGAGGAGGGAGCAGTAAGAATGTGGAGACCTATAAACACTTCAGCACAGGAAACAGCAGAGACACCAGCAAACTCTGGAGCCCAAGCAACCCTGGGCCTATGTGCTCTGTGAAAGAGAAGAGGAACTAATGTCTCCCAGTGGCTCAGCCATACTATGGGGCAGGGCCAAAGAGTGGAATCACCTGGGTCCCCTGCCTCCTGCCTCTGGGAGATTTTAGTGGAGGTTGGGAGCCTTCACCAGGAATTCAGATGCTGGCTTCAGCTCAGGCCCCAACCCCAGGACGTCTTCCCAAAGCCAGAGCAGGAGTTTGCTTAGGAGAGGGCCACATGTGTGAGATGCACGGGGGCCAAATCTGAAGCCAAAGCCATATCTCACTTTGGGGTTCCCTAGGGGTCTAGGGCCCAATGAGAGCCAGCACATTTTGGTAGCTGCAAGAAGCCTGGTGAGTCCCAGGCTGTGGCTCCACCCTTAAGCGCCTGCCCCACGTGAGAGAGTGGCTACCTGGGGGGGCCATGCACATCCAAGGTCTGTGCGGTCTGGAAGAGGTAGAAAAAGCCCAGAGTTGGGGTGGAGGAGAATGACCCCATCACCCACACCCGAGAGAGTTTGACACGGAGACATACCATTGACTAGGCTGGCATTTGCACTATCTACAGCATTTGAGGCTGCTGCACCGTCTGCCGCTGGAGGGTGGGAGGGATGGAAAACGCAGCATGTCACAATGAGAAGAGCAACAACCACAAAGACACGAACCCACCAGCAGGGACCACGCCACACCAGTCCCAAAACCAAATCTCTGCTACAAACCGAGACACTCAAATGTGTGAGATGTTCCCATGGAGATGACAGAGGGGTCAGGGTGGGGGGACTCGGACATGGAGGTCTTAGAAATAAAGCATGGAGGGGGAGCAGGTGGTTGGGGGGGATGGCGCCCTTCTGTGCAGGGTCTGTGCCCCGCTGGCCCAGCTGGTCAGGTGGGTCCTCATCAGAGTGAGTGCCAAGAGAGTGTCTGGCTGCCCTTGGGGCCAGGGTTAATGCAAAGTGTCCAGTGAGAGGGACGGGGGGCCCCAAGCCCTCAGAGGGGTGTGCGCTATGACCACCATCATGCTGTCAGGGCGTCTGGGGAGCAGCGGCCACTGGAGGTCAGAAATATCTTCAGTGTGGGGTGCTGCCCACTGTCACTGCTGCTTCCCATCATCAGCAACCAGAGAGCACCCTGGTGGCCCTCAAATAGGACGATCCACTATCAAGTGTGTGTGTCGCATTTTGCACCCAAGAAAAGGTGCCAGTGCCATTTTCTCCATTTAGGACAAGAGTATGGAGGCAGACGAGTTCAGCCTTATTCCTCTTCCACGGCTGGGGACTAGGAAAGAGACCCCATGGATAAGGGTGCTATGGCCGGGGCATACGCTGTGTGGTTTATGGTGGGGAGCTGGGATGGGCTTCAGGGCGGGAGCTCAGGCCAGAGAGCGTATGCAGGTGGTGCCGGGGACATCTGGCATTAGCCGCTGTGGTGAAATCCTGAAGGGGTTGGAGGGCAGAGCGGGTGCTGGCTTGTCCTGCTGGGCTGGCACACACAAGGCACAGAGGGGCCCCTGGGAGCGCAGGTTGGGGGCCTCCTCCAGCTGTGTGCTGGTCATCTAGGGGGCGGGCCTCGTGGGAAAGGCTGCAGCTATTTCTAAAAGCCCCATCTACCCTGAGGGATGTCTTACTGTACCTGGTAGCTGAAGGCCATCCCCCTTCTTCACACCTGTGTGATGATTTTTGAGACATGTTAATGAAGGAGAAGCACATACAGCCTCATTTGCCTGCAAGCACACACGCGCGCGCGCACACGCACACACACACACACACACACACACAGCTACATCGAGTCACCCTGAAATGGGAACATGCAGTTGGTGGGTTCTAAGCTACATTATCCCTGGTTCAGACAATGGGACAGGAAGGAAGATGGAGCCTAGACCCACTGAGCTGCACACGCTGGCCTGTGATACTGGGCCACCTCCCAGGATTCCTCTCCCACTGTCCCTGCTGTATACCCCCTTTAGCACAATGCTGAGCCTTCTGACGTCATGTTGGTGGTATGCATTCGTCATTCAGTGGGGACCCTTGACCCACACTTCTGGGGAAGCTGTGGATGGTCTTTTTTAATGACATTTTCAAAGATACAGGTCTGGCCTTTGAGGGTTTCTGTCTGCCCTGAGATGGACCCCAGAAAGGCCACAGAAACATGTCTAGGCTTTCATATCCTGCCTGACCTCTCAAATCTTCCCAGCTGCTTCCTGTGGGCCTGGCCAAAGACCATCACAGTGTATAGACTTTGTCCTGACGTCCTCCTCCTGATCAGACTCTCCTCCAGCACCCCTCGCTCTCCTCAGCTTGATTTCCCAGACAGCTCAGCTCACTCCTGTCGTGGGTGGAGTTATAGCTATAATCTAAGGGGACCCACTAGAACAGGGATGGTGAACCTTTTAGAGACCGAGTGCCCAAACTGCAACCCAGAACCCCCTTATTTATCACAAAGCACCAACACTATAATTAAACCTGAATTCTGAAGTTTCAGTTCAGCAAAAACAACTGATACAACCTGTGACATCATTGCAGAGAGGGCTCTGCGTGACTGCGGTGGCACACGTGCCACAAGCTCACTGCCACTGCAATAGGAAACGGGTTTGCTCTCAGGAATAGGCAGCCTCCTTCCTTGAGCTGGGCTTTGTACCCAAGCGGCCTCTGGGACTGGAGGTAGCAGAGCTACCCCTGAGCCTCAGAGAGAGGCCATCTGTCCTCTGCCAGGCCACAGAGGTGCTGGGGATGGGATCTCTCTAAGGAGCCTGCATCAGGGGACTGCGTGAACGGACCTGCTCCCTGAGACTGAGGGTGGGTGTCAGGTGAGGAGAGGGCTGTTGTGGTGCCTGGAGCCTAAACCTGGGTTTGGGTTGGAGCATTTTTCCTCTGTCCTGTGAGGTAGGACTTCGAGCAGCCCCATGTGCACAGAAGGAGGTCTGTTTTCCGGGGTGGAGGAGGAACCAGAACCCAGGCAAAGTGGCAGTTCCTGGGGACTGTGAGAAGGGACTTCAAGCAATGTGTGTGAACCCAGGCTTTCAACCATCCTCCCAGAGTCTCCGCACATGGCTAGGATGTGTAAGTGCTGGGTGGATTTCCAGCTGTGCCGAGCAGGGACAGCGATGCTGAAAGGGATTTCTATTCCACAGCGGTGTGATGTGAGACTGGGTCCTGCAGGCTGCTCTACCCTGAGGCTGAAGACTCCACAGCTTGTACAGCAACCTGGACCTGCCCAGAGGGGAAGGAGGGGCCTCTGAGACACAACTGGACAGGACAGAGACCCAGACGAGACCCTGAGATAAAACAGATAATGCCCACCTGGCCCTAGCAGTTCCTTGAGGATGGAGGAGGGGATCTTGGCACAGGGTGTGGACAAAGAAGTCATTCAGTAA